TAGGGTCTGTGAATAATGTAAATTTCCTTCCCAGCATGAGCTGGCTAGAGCTTTTGAGGGAAGAACAAAGCACACTTTAAAGAATTTACTTTTAGGCCTGATTTCCCTGGGAACTGCCAGATCTGGTTTAGGACTGTCTCAGGTATTGTTTAGAGCCTGAGCGAGGTTAGGGGAGGGAGCCGCCAAGAGACAAGGAGCCTTCTTTCAGACAGAATGAGGACTCCGGCCATGGCCAAGCCGAGCTGAGGGGTGCGGGCCTTTGTGCCCTTTCTCCATGCCCCCCCATTTCTTGTCTGCCTCCCATACCAGCAGATATCTGTCTTAGGTTGTCATCTCTGCATGAGATAACTTACCTGTCATGGATTACAGATCATCACAGGGCAAAGCAGAGGCAGAAGCTACACCCCTGCCAGGGGGCACAGGTTATGTCTCCTCAGGGACCTGTTTCTCCAAGGCCTCCCTGATTATTTCCAGCCTTGGGGCCCTCCAGCCTGTCAGCAGGGTTACAGTTCCTGAAACCAGACAGGGCGTTTCCCAACAATAAATAATAGTATTTTTACTTATAGATTAATGAGAATTGTGAAAAGGACTTTCTAAGCCATGGTTAGGAAGCAAATATGCTGCATGACCCAGCATGTAAAGATGAGCTAATGGGCTAGTGGGAATATAGATGCATAGATAAATCATTTCAACAGAGTGATTTTGAAAATTTCCAGATGGGAGATGTCTTTGAGACCCTCCTTTACCTGGACTAGGGTTGCTGAAGGTAGTCATGAGTTCTGAAGTCAAGGTACTCAGACTTTAAGCCACAAATTATAATGTTCTTTGTAACCAACTGTATGACATTAATGAGGCTTCCTTATAAAGCTGTGGTGTAAGCCACGTCACAATGGCTTGGCTCTCCAGAGATTGACAGAAGAGTCATACAACTATGGTGTGAAAAGTGCCAATTATGATTTTTATATTAGAATAAGTGAGAGAGGGAAACTTACCCAGTGTCTTAACAGCTGTCATGCACCAAGCACTCTTTAAAACAGTTCACTTCTCTTAGCCCATTGCATCCTCCAATAAGCCTATGCTGTCATAGAATTGTCCTCATTTTAACACATCAGAAAATTGAACCTCAGAGAAGTAAAATAACTTGCCCAAGGTCACCCAGCTGCTATGTGGTGTAGCAAAAAAGCAAAGGATCTGCCCAAAACAACAACAAATCCTCAAGTAGTTTTTTAAGTCTTAAGAAATGATTTCTAAATCCACAGAAATAGGCTTCCTCTAATATATTTTAAAATGAAACAAAACAAAAAACAGCAGCCCTGAATTCTGACATGTTAGATTTTGTCCTGTCATGGATTACATGCATGGAGTTATTTTTGACGCTGCCTTTTCAGGCAGCAGAACTCCTGTAATAGGTTTATGAGGAAGCTGTTCACTCTTTGTTCCTCAGACAAACCTAAGTCCGAGAGGCTCAATTTACTACTTTAAATCACTTCCCACTGGATAAAGCAGAAAGAAAACTGAAAGAGAGAGGCAGTAGGACAGCTTTTCCTTTTTGAGCTTACTCTTACCAATAGGAGAAGGTGACAGTGACAATAGAGACACTGGCTTGAGATCAGCTTCAGCATTGCCCAAGGAGGTATAAGAAGCCCTGGCCAGTGTGACTTGGTTGGGGTGTCGTCCCATAACTGAAAGGTTGCAGGTTCAATTCCTGGCTGGGGCATACACCTAGGTTGCCGGTTTGATCCCCAGTCTAGATGTATACAATTTCTGGCCCGGGGCACATACGGGTGGCAACCAGTCGATGCTTTTCTCTCTCATATCAAAGTTGCTTTCTCTCCCCTTCCTCTCTCCCTTCCTTTCTCTCTAAAAAGCAATGAAAAAAATGTCCTCCAGTTAGGATTTTTTTTTTTAAAAGAAGAAGAAGAAGGTACAAGAAGTACCAGGTCTTGCAGACACTCCCAGGGATGCCAGAAATGGCGCAGGCATTCCTTCCTCTTCCACATCCACCAGGGGGTGCACTAAAATCTCACATCACTCTCTTGTGGTGACTACTTGATCAGTTTCTTAACTGCTCCAAGCTTCAGCACCCTCATTAGAGTGGGGAGTTACAAGATCTAAATGGAGCAAAGGATGTAAAGCTCCTGACTCATGGTATGGTCCAATAAGTGATAGTTTCTCCCTTATCACTCACCAAAATAAATACTGAAACAAAAATAAGTTCATCTGGAAAGACTCAGCTGGCTCTGCAGGTCACAGTTCTGGGTTCACAGCTTTTCTCCTTGTGACTCAGGGCCATTGTCTTTGGAAAAAAAGAATTCTGGATCTCCACCTTCCCCGAATTCCTGACAGCATGTCCACTGTTGATGCCCTATGTCAGAATGTACCGCAGCCTCACAATTAGAGAAGCTGATCTGCAACTTTGGGCAGAAGGGTGACTAGAGAGTCCAGCTATAAAACATGGTGGCCCATACTTACCCATTCGTTGTCTCAGGCTTGCCAGTATATGGAGCAGACATCAGATTAGAAGGGTCACTAGTCTAGAACTCAGGAGCCCAGGATTCCACTCTCACCTCCTCCATCCATCCATCCCTTGAATGGCTTACGCAAGTCACTTCCTCTCCCTGGGGCTTAGTTTCCCCATTGATAAAAGGAAATGGTGAAATAGTTGTTAATCTGTAGAATCCCTTCCTGTTCTGTGATGATATTCCCTTCCATCAGGGCCAAGTGTAATTCAGGGGTAATGGGTAATATACATTTTTTGCACACTTTATGTTGCTATTTTTTTTAAAAAAAACAAGCTAATTATATGACTTTCTATTGCTCCAGTTGCTACCAGCTCAGCAGGATAAATACTTTTTTTCCCATTGGCTCATTGAATTTTTTGTTCCAAGGACTCTGTTGAACAAGTTAGGCCAGTTTTTGAATTTTGTTAAGGAGATCAATTATCTGAAAAAGGGTAACCTTTATCCCAAAACTTGAGCTTGGCATTTTATATGAGCATAACTCACGGGATACCATATTTATTTATCTAACTACCTCAACCTCAACCTCACCTTCTCATTGATATTTTCAATTCTAGGAACCATCACTCATCTTTCAGATCCACACCTCTGTGTACTGGATCACTGTAATCAGCTAGATTTTCATAGCAGTCACTAGGCAAGTTCGTTGGATCTAAGATGACTTGACATTTCCCCCTTCTTTCAGCACTTTACCATAGGATTGAGTAAGCTTGCTGAGGGAGCCATGAAGGACAATGAAAGAGAGATACAATAAAGGCTGATCTGCAAGGTGTTTTCCCAGTTAGAGCTCTGTTTGCTTATTTGTCAGAGTGGGACTGAAGCCTCTTGTGTTCGTGGCAAGAATGGAGAGCTTGGTGAACTTGGTTAACTATGAGGGGTGCCTTAGTGTGGGGATGCATGGGCTGGGAGTGGGATAGTAGTCCTACCACTAGACTTCCAGAGGAAATGGATAAGGAAGGACAGAGTGAGAGGTAGCTGAGGCTTTTGTTTTAATTTATCCTGTTTTTTTCCTCTATGACAAAGGGCATGTTTATTAATAAGTTTAGAACACCACAATTTCAAGAGCACTCATTTTAATTCATACAACAGGCCTATGAGAACAGCTACGATGGACATTTGGAATGACATACATTTTTTTGGTTCTTGCCAGTACATAAAGATGGCTTCTAGGGGAAGGCTGAATGTGTACCCAAAAGGGTCCTCAGGAATATGGTATTTACCTGGTGTATTGACCATGGTTTAAGATCCTGTCTTGGGCCTTGTGGGTCCAGAGAGGATGTGTCCTATGTAGGACAGCACCTGCATTAATCAAGCTCTTAGAGACTAAAATATAATAAAAAGCTGGATGTTCATGATTAATTTATTGTGAAAAATACAGCTGTTGGGCAAACCAGAAGGCTTGAGTCAGCAGATAGGAACATTCTTTCTCAGTATGCTGATTATTTCAGAAGCCAAATTAAAATCAGAGGGGCAATTTACTCACTTAAAGTGAAAAACACAAATTTTAAGTGAACCAGATGTTCTGGTTAGCCCAGCCTCTCCTGACAGATAACGTATATAGGAAACCAGCTTATTAAACAATTGCTTTGGGAGTAGGGAATCAGAGAAAAGTGTATATGACAATTTTAAGGTGTGTCTCTCATCAGCTTGAGGCAATCCCATACCCCATGGAAGGAATAGCTTTGCCAAGAAAACTGTAACGCTTGAATCTGGTGAGCTAAGCCTTCCCCTCTCTGCAGTAGGCATGAACGGGCACTGCTAATGCTGACCTTGGCAGCTATCCATTTTCATGGCTTCTGTTTCCCATGGTCCTTATCCAGACAGGGTTACAATACAAATAATTAGTTTTCTGCTTACTTTCTGGGATTGTTCCCAAATGATCTCAACTGGAATGTTTGCAGTTCCAAAAACTGGTTAGGCACACATTTATAAACAGTGTCTTAGTTTCCTAGCACAGATGGCTAATCCAATTCACCAAGTATGGATTTACTAGTTTAGTTCTTGAAAATCCTGTTTTGATTTCATAAGCAGTACTGCACTTTCTATTTAAAAAGTTACACGTGTGTGGCAAGGGATATGTCACAAATTTAGAAAGGGGGTTCAGAGGAGCTGAGTGCCTTGCCCTGGGCCAACAGCTAGTGATTGGTAGAGCTAGAACTCAAACCCAGGTCTTCTGGGTTCAGATTCTATTCTTGTTCCATTGGATGTAACTGAATTTTCTACTATTAAGTTTGACTTGGAAGCAAGAAAGGCAAATCAATGCATTTCTAAGAATTAGCCTTAAAACATGTTAAGTGATATTTTTCTCTAAATAGTGTGGGTGGGCAGAAGCATAAAGTGTACAGAAGAGAAGAAGAGAAGGTATAAATAGAAAGGTCACTCAGATGTAGCCGCCTGCTGTAGGGGGCTATGAGGTCCAGGCATAGAGCATCCAGTGGCCTTGTCTGAGCAGACACAGTAAGTGGATGTGTTTTGTTGCAGAATCTGAGTGTATCGGAGGCAAGAGGAAAAATCCTCCACTACCAGGTGACTTTGCTGGAGGCGGCAGGGGAGAAAGCCACACTACAGAACATCACAGAACATACCTCCTGGACCTGGGTCATTCCCAGAACGAAGAACTGGGCTGTGGCAGTGTCTGCAGCTAACTCAAAGGGCAGTTCCCTGCCCACTCGTATTAACATAACGGACCTGTGTGGGGCAGGTAAGTACCAACTTATCTTTTATATTATCTGTGGGAAACTGTCTTACTCATCTCTTATCTTCCACAGGCTCAGCTCAGGGCCTGGCATGACTAGCACTTGAATTTAGATTTTAGAGTCAACAGCGTGCAGGGGCTGTCTTTTCCTCTCAGATTATGAGTGGCCTTGGACAACTGAATTAACACACCTCTGAGCTTCACTTTCCCACTCCTTAAAGCAGGGATTACATCATTTACTTTGCAGGTCACCATAAGATTAAGTACAAAAACTAATACATAGCAGATACTTAATAAATGTTAGTTAAGGAAACATTAGTTACATTAACTTGAACACTAATATCTGGTAAATTATTCCAGAAGCAAGAATAGAATGTGCTGTCAAATTCTAGAAGAAAACATTTTACACTGATAGTGAAAACATTTTAAAACCAATGGTATTAAAATGATATTCTGGCTGTAATGAAACTATTGTAAAATGTTTCTATACTAAAGCTCTTTATTCTACAAATTTAGATATGTATTCAATTATCTACATTGAAAACCTCCCGAACAGCTACACACATTTTATGGTTGCATTCTCTGAAAACTAACTTCTCTGGATAAAAGCTTATAATTAGTCAAGAAAATGGATGCTAATGCTATTCCTCAAGATCCGTGCTATAAAAAGGCCTAACTTTTTCCAAAATTGCCTCATAGAATAAAATTCTAATTACATCCTTCCTTAAAATTCAGTGTAATAATTTTATCTACATGAGAGTCTAGCAATCATCGTTTTGGAGAAGGTTCTGCTATAACATGATTACTCTATATACACTGTTAAATCTTGGTTATGTATCATTTCAGTCACATATCTATAAACATAGAAATAATAAAGTAATGAAAATAACTAGAGGAGAATACAAGTAAATATTGACATAACCTTGTGTCGATATATGAGTTAGGAATTGCTCTTAGGCGTAATAGTTGCTCTTACCAGAGGCCTGACTATGGTGATTTATTTACTCTCACACATTAAAGAAGTCAGAGGTAAACCGCCCAGGGCTGGTGTGACAGCTTTGTGACATCATCAGGACTCCAGGCTCCTTTCTGTTCCTTCTGCCAAGCTGGCTTTCATCCTCAAGATGGAAATGGTCCAGGATGGCTGCCGGAGCTCTAGCTCTTTCCATCTAGGCAGCAGAACAGAAGAAAGAGAGAAAGGCTCACCCCTCACTCTTGAGGAGCTTCGTCCCAGGCCACACAACACACTTTGTACTCATTGACTCTAATTCGTCACCGGGCCAGACCCAGCTGCAAAGGAGTCACAGAAATATATTTCAGGCAGCAGTGTTGCCTTGCTAAAGAGGAAGAAAAGAGGGCATCTGGTAGGCAACTGGTAATCTCTGCTCATGTGGGACAGGTACCTAAGGCAGAAACCTGAAGGAAAAATGGACTAACTGTGCAGGAAAAACCTTACTCTTTCTGCACAGTAAAATTAAAATCTTTTTAAAACACCAAAAATAAAACTTTAAAAATGTAGCGATTTTTTTCAGGGAGTAACATAATAAAACCATGTTTCCACTTTCAGATCTAACAAATGTTAACATTTTGATAGATTTTTTCCTTTATTTTTTTAAAATTAAAAAAATATTATTTTTTGAATTATAGTTTACATTCAGTATTATTTTATATTCGTTTCAGGTGTATAAATAGCAATTTAAGAAAAGTATATATATATATATACATATATCTCACATTTTTGGCAAAAAGAGGATTGTCTGTCTAACTTCTTTAAATTAATAAGAGATTGGGGATATGAACAGACAACTCAGCTAATAGATTTAAAAAGAACAATAAGATTTGAAAATATTTCAGCCTAATTAGCAATCAATGAGAAGCAAATTTTGAAAGAGCATGAAGGACCAAATCAGCCTGAGAAAGAGTAAGCAGAATTAGTATAGTTCACGTTGGTGAGCGTATGGAGAAAAGTATTCTTGTACCCTGCTAGTCGGTGTGTAAACTGGTTCAATTTTCTAAAGAACAATTTGGCCATATGTAACAAATTTTAAATATAAACATATCTTTTTACCAAGATATTTGAACATTAGGACTGTATCCTCAGCAAATAATAAGTGCTTAAAATATACAGGCAAAAAAGGTTTTGTTGAAAAAACTATAGTGAAATAGCATAAACTACCTAAATATAAAATAATAGAGATGAACTGTTTTAATATATCCTGACTCTCACCAGCATTAATTCCACAGTAGCACTAAAGTGATGTTGTAGCTATGTGTGTATTCCCATGGAAAAATGCACATGAGTAAAAAGGCAGGCTTTCAATAGTGCATATGGGGTGATGCCACTTAAAATATCTATTTAAATGAGTATATATTTTTTGAATATTAAAAACAATTTAGTGGAATATATATATGGAAATGTTAACAGAGGTCATTATTGTACTATGGGATTATAGGTGATTTTTCTTCCCTTGTGCTTTTTATATTTTTAAAGTTCTTCTTCAAAAATATAAGAACCACATATATAATTTTTAAAGTGAATTCTGTGGGGGAAATTGTACTCATAACACTGTTTAGTATCCTGGTGTTGTTAAAATGCAATGTCAGAACATCTTACTTCTTCAAACTCCACTGCAGGTGAGCCTTGGAGATATAAGTTTCATGAATTTTCTGTGCCCATTCTAAGCTTTTAGTTTAGATTTGATAGTAACTTCTCAAAATGACACATTCATTATTTTAGAGTTGGCCTCTACTTTATTCATTCAGTAGTCCTTTATTGAGCATCTACTAAGTCAACTGCAATCCAGCAATAGGTTAAGAAATACTGTTGAGGTCCTCCACTTATATTTAGTCAAGTGAGATGGCAGACATATAAACAAGTAAGCTGTAGTACGGTATAATAAGTGCAAGGTTAGAGGTATGCACAGGTAGCTCTAGGAACAGACAAAAACCAAGGTATGGGCTTGGAGAGGAGGCAGCATGTGAACAGGGTATGGAGGGGCAAGTTGGTATTAGCCAGGTGAGGGAGTGTGGTGTGCAGGCCTGATGGTTTTTTTAATGTGGAATCTGAGTAGATCAGAGGTAGGGAGGAGTTGAAGATAAAGGAAGAGAGGGGATAACTGATGGAGGGAAGTCCTTGGGGAAATGGAAGATGATGGGATCCAGTGACAGAAAGAGTTAAAGGAACACTTCTTCCTCTAAGAATATACAAGTGTTAAGTAAGGATGAAGCCATTAAGGATAAACGTGTAGAGAAGGTGAGGCGGGGCACTGAAATAGCTCTGCACAACTGAGCTGTGGCTAAGAGGGTCCTGGCCCTGGAAATCTTGGATTCTCAAGAACCTTCTGCATCACCTAAGATCAAGCCTGACCTATCCAATACAAGCTGTTGTGCAGCTCAGGGTTGACCTATGGAGGGCAAATTGGCAAATCACATAATCCCATCCTTGATGGCTCTTGTCTCACGCATATTCTGAATTATCTGTAGAAAAGGTGTGCCATAATTTTGTCTCCCTCTCTTTCAGTATATGTTCACACTACTCACGTAGATAACTTTCCTTTTAGGGAGAGAAAAATAATGGTGCAACAGGCAGAATTATGTTGATTTTGAGAAAAGTAGGGACAACTTTTATATAAGGCACCTGCCACAGAATGGCATATCAAGAAGCACAAGAATGATTTTGTGGATTTGATGAAAATTGAGTGTGCCAAACCCACAGCCAACAAGTAAAATATATTTCACATTTCAGTCCAGCCCCTGTGCTCAAGAATGCTTGAAACTAGAAGAATCAGAAGCCATTAGAGTCATAACCAGACCCACACAGATGTCAGACACTTAGGCCCCAGGAGGTGAAGTATCTTAGCCAAGATCATACATTCAGTTAGTCACAGAGCTGGACAGAAAAACCAGGCCACCTGTCTCTCAGATGGGCACTTTTCCAAATATATTCTGAACTTCATAACTCTGTTGAGAAGCTCTCAGTAAAAATGGAGATGGGAAGTTGAATGATTGAGGTGAAAGGAATAGCTCTGAAAGGTCACAGAGAGGTGAGTGTGCGCAGAGATCTGAGGGAGAGAACAAGCCCCAGCAGACATCAGGAGCGGCGTGGGAATCCACGCTGGTTCCTGGCAACATGGAAAGACTAGATGGTTGAAATAAAGAACTGAGCCAATGAGTTAGATAGCAGAAAGGACTTGTCAGAAGATTGAATGTGTGGAAGACTGGATAAGAAACTCTTCTAAAAGTCATCAAAAACGGGAAAGAAGTTGAAAAAAATGACAAAACTTAAAACACTAAAAGAGCCGAAAGAGAGGTTATAATGACCACTTAAAAGGAGTCACAGTGAGAGAGAAAAAGTAAATGAAAAGGAAGAAACCCTTGAAAATGTTTATCCAGAATCTTACAGAATGTCAATAGTAGGAGAGACTATATATGTGTGAGAAACAGGGGATATATGGAAAATCTCTGAACCTTCTGCTCATTTTGCTATAAACTTAAAATTTCTCTAAAAAATTATCTGTATTTTTTAAAGTCTCTGCAAAATGTAGTGAAGAATTATGAGGCAGGGTTGATCCTATGAATATAAAGATAGAGCAGTATGGGAAAAATATAACAATGTAATCTATCACATTAATACTGGGAGAGAAAAAAAGGATATGTTCTTAACAGATGCAGAAAAGTAGTTAGAAATAATTTTTAGTAAATGATGTATTAGTTTTAAAACCTATATAAAAACTAAGAATAAAAGAAAACTTTTCAGTTTTTTTAAGATTTTCTACCAAAAACATGCAGCAAATAGTATTTTATCATAATAAAGATATATGGGCACAATCTCTTTAAAATTAGCAATGAGATAAGAACAATAAAAGGAAATAAGAGTTTGATATAAAGATTGGAAGACAGATATTTTAAGTATTCAGCTAATAAGATTATGATATGGAAAATTCAACGAGGGCAAGAGATAAATTATTACAATTAATTAGAGAATTTAGCAGATTTGCCAGAAATAAGAATAACACACACAAATTAATAGTAGAAAAAGTAGAAAAATAACCCCTGACCAGTGTGACTTAGTTGGTTGAGCATCGTCCCACAAAGAAAGTTCCCTGATTCAATTCCTGGTCAGGGCATATGCCTAGGTTGCCCTAACCAGAGAGTGTGAGAGGCAACTGACTGATGTCTCTCTCCCACATCAATGTTTCTCTCCTTCTCTTTCTCTCTTCCTTACCCTCTCTCTAAAAAAATAAATAAATAAATTCTTTTCAAAAAGTAGAAGATGCCATTTATATAGTAAGCTAAAAGTAAAAAGTGTCTAGGAATTAATCTAACAAAAACTCTTGAAAACTTTAAGGAAGAATTTTTAAAACTCCATTGAAAGATAGAAAAGGGGAGTGGAGTAATTTCAATGAAACAGCATATTTATGAATGGAACCATTTAACATTGTAACAGCATCAGTTTTCCCTGAATTAAACTATATATTTAGCTTAAGTCCAGTAAAAACAACAACAGAATTTGGGGACTCTGATAAACTGATTCTAAAAGCTGCATGGAAGAATAAGGTTAAATGAATAACCAAGACCATTTTGAAAAAAGAAGAGCAAAATTCTCTTCTTTTCCAGAGAAGGGGAGTTTATAAACCAAATAGTCAGACATTACAAAGCCTAGTAATATAAACTGTATGTTCTGGTGAAGAAACTGACCTGACACAGGCCCAATAATACATAGAACTTGGTGTGTGTTAGGAATGGTATCGCATTTGGAAAAAATGACTCACTCTATGGAAAAATAATAAAATTTATTCCTTAAAAAATTCTTTTCAGCTAGATTTGGATAAAAACTTGAAAGTGAAAGGGAAAACCAAAAGTCAATAGGTGAAAATGTGGTTGAGTACCTTTGTGACCCCAGGATGGAAGGGTTTCATAAACAAGAGTCAAAATGCTCAAACCATAGGTAGATTTACCTCCATCAAAGTAAATATTTATGTGCAACAAACACATCATAATGTTATCAGAGATCTGAAAGACTGGAGCAAGATATTTTTAGTGTTGAAAACTGACAAATGATTAAGATCTAGAATATAAAAGCTATTCCTGCAAATCAGAGGGAAGACGGGGAACTCAGAAAAAATAAGCAAAGTATATGAACAGGCTATTCACATAAGGGGAAAAAGTCAGGTGATTAGTACTGCATGAAGAGAAGTTCAGTCTCATAAGAAATCAGAAAATGAAAATAAAACCACAATTAAATACCACTTCACATGTACCAGATTCACAAAAATTAGAAAGTCAGAAAACAGAAAGCGTTGTGGGGGGAATGAGAGCTCTCGAAGCTTTTCTTGAGTACAACTGATGGGCTATGTTAGAGATCAGCATGTCCATATTTAATGAAATGTGTAAATTCACTCTGTCATGGAGCAATTCTGTGCATATACATCCAGAGACACTCACACAGGCCCACATGAGGATGTGTTTGTGTTTATGCCGATGTAATAAGATCCAAACCTGTAGAGAATTTTTATAAGAGTTTGAGTGAAAACAATGGCATATGCTGGACATAAAGATCTCAAATGCTCTAGAGAATAACAGTTTTGCAGTTTCTTTTATGCATTTGAAATTGTAGAAGGGACATAAAGAAGATTACATGAAGGTGGGAGAAAGCAAAACAAGGGTTGGGTGAGAAGATTATGTGCTTTCTTCAGGGTGGCTGTGCCTGCAGAGGGTATGACTTCTGGCATCTCAAAGGTCTGTTAACCTAGATGCATAAGAACGATGGACAGGCCTTGTTTAAAAAATTTTCCCTTAAGAAGTTAGAGGCCTGGGGTGTGACTACCCACCATGGCCTGCCCAGTTAGGAATTTATGATATATTACAGCACCCTTTTTTGTCTACATTAGTTAAGAGTTGGCGGGAACCTCCTGCTTGTCACTTGGAGACTGGACAAAGAAGTGGTTGAAGCAGCAGTCTAATGGAATGAGCTAAATTTACACATAGGAGCAGGATGGATACATCCCAGAAACATAATGTTGAGTGAAAAAAAAATTAGAAAAAGCATTAGATCCACTCGCAATACGGTTTATGAAATAACAATTCACAAGTACAAAGCAACACTAATTTTCAAGGATACACATATGTCTAAATAAACATATAAGGTGAATTAAAAGGATGCATGTTGTTACATTCATGAGAGCTGGTACCATTGGAAATGGAAAGCGAAATGGAAGATGAAGGCAAGATAATTCTACAAATAACACTACACAGGGCGCTTGTCCAGACTGATGATGCCAGTTCTCCAAGAACTGAGAGAGAAGTAGGATGAACCTGTGAACCTGAAGACCTTAAAAAGAAATTGTTCTTCCTAAAGCATTACTAGAATTTGCTGTGTTTTCTATCTTCATCTACAGTGATTTTGGTTTTTGTCCCTCCTCATTTTCCCCCATAAAGCGTTGTTGGCTCCTGGCCAGGTCTCTGCAAACTCAGAGGGCACGGACACCATTATGGTGGCATGGGAACCTCCTGAGAAAGCTGCCTCTGCTGTGCACGAGTACGTGGTGCAATGGAGGGAGCTGCATCCAGGGGGCGACGTGTGGCCCCCTCTAAACTGGCTACGGACTTCCCCCTACAACGTGTCTGCTTCGATTTCAGGTACTTAACTGTTCACCTTCCTTCAAGAGGTTACTAAATTCACATTTGTTTGAGAAAATTGCAGGTAGGAAACCAAAACCCTGACTTCAATTACAGGTCGCTACGTGAGAAAGAGGGACAGTGATGACCTAGGGTCCTTCAGGACAGCACCTCAGAACACACCACTGCAGCTCTATAAGGCCAGCTGGTTGACTAAAAGCTCTGGTATTTATGGAAAATGCTCGTGTCTGACAAGTGCCATTATACAATAAACGAATACTTAAACCAGAGGAGCATGGCTGAGAGCTAAGTAGTAACCAGTCAGTGTGGTGGGCACCTGACATTTGGGACTTCATTTACATCTTGGAAAAATCATGTGCAACTAGAGTTATCATTCCTATGATACAGGTGAGGATACGAGGAGACCTTTCATTCCTAATCAAGTGACCGAGAGCATATTAAAATGATGGAACAGAACTTAGGCAATGCCATTTTTAAGTGTTAAGTTCACAAACAATCTATATTTGAGTCCTGGCTCTGTCACTTACAGTGTTGCATATTCTAGGGCAAACTGGTTAACTTCTCTGTGCCCCAGTTTCCTTATCTGTAAAATGGGGGCTGTTGTATTATTGTGATGACTAACTAAATTAATATAGAGAAAATGTTTTGAGCAGTGCCTAACACATTTTAAGTGCTTAATAATTTAACCATCATCATCATTATTATTATATGTAATAGAGCTAGGATTTTAATAGGTTTTCAAGCTCTAAATCCCATAATACTATCATTACTCCATGACAACCATTGCACCTGCTCAGGAGGAAACGCACGCCCTGCTTAAGGAAACAAGATTTATACACTGCATGATAATTACCAGAGACGGTCCTTAACTGTGTGCCTCTTTTATAGTCTAGCTGCTCAGATTTTTAGTGGGTTGTGTTCAATTTTAATCACTACACTTAAAGAGAATGCTGCCCAGTAAGCGACAGAGGAAGATGAGCAAGTCACTGGGGTTCTGGAACTTCTAACGTGGAAACTGAAAATTATAGATGGCGGTGGGGTGGTTTGATGGCTGTTGCTGGCTTTGATGTGTACATGAAAAAAAGTACATGTCTCTTATTGTTTTGGAAGCTAAAACTAAGGCCTCTCTATGGAAATTATAAGAAGGCAGATGCCAGCGCTATGTTGAGAAGGAACTTTCCTTACCTGTCATGGTCTCTAATAGGATAGTTAATTGTCCCTGGAGTTGTTGCAGTAGAACCACTTTTTCATTAGGGCTGTTATGCCCATCAAATCAGGTAAAAGATTGTATAAAGAAAGGCATTTAGTGAACTCTAAACTGCTACAAAATTTAAATGCTCAGTATAAACTGTATTAGGATTTACCCCTGCAGGATAGTTTGAATCATATAGCCCCTACAATTCCTTCCTTTTATAAATCTATACAAATACCATAAAATAGATGAATAAAAGAATGCTTTCCATATTTAGGAAATTAAAATGTTTTTAAGCATTTTAGAAATATTTATTTACATAAGATCAATATGGTGAAATGACATTGTTCTCCTACTTGAAAACACTTGGTTAACTATTAGTTTGTCTTGCTGTTACATTATGAAAATAAACTCCTAAAAAATTAAGTAATTCACAGTTACCATGATTTCAAAATGGTCCTGTGCAGTCAGTGATATGACTCACGGCTCTTGCATCCTCAGCTGCTGGCTGGGACAGAGTGGGTTGTTTGGAGGGGGCCAGAATGCAGTCCAGCTCCTGGGTTAGAGGTTCATGAGATCTAGACTAGAGATCATCAGTCCTGTTCTTTCTGGATAAAAATGGTTTGGGCCATACAGAGCCACTCCTTTTACAAGTATGTAGACAACACCATATCTAGAAAACCTTCCCTCATACCTAGGCTATTTGGGTCCCCCTTCTGCACGCTCCCTCATACTTCCTCTAGGATTTTTCCACATTATTGATCATGTAGTGTTTGCCTTCTCCCATACTTAATAGGTGAAATTAGCTATCTGCAGAAAATCCACCTAAGAGATTAGTTGTAAATATCAAAACAGAGCCTTTGCCCAAGGTTGCCAGGCATATATGTATGCATGGGAGTATGAGAAAAAGAGTCTGTAGTTGGGGCCAGAATGAAGAAAGATGAAAATTTTAACATTGTGGGCTCCAGACACTGGGCAGCAGGGCTGACGAACTTTTTGAGGTGGGGAGCAGACATGATTAAGGGCTGTTTGTGTAAGAATTAGCCAGTAAAACAGGAGTCCTCAAGGTCAGAACCAGGGAGCAAGTTTGCTAGGGCTCTACACTTTATGGAAAGGGAAATGTCACCTGAGTTAAGGTGTCACATTTTCTTCTGTCCTCCCCTAAGGTAGGTTAGTCACAAGAAGAAGCCATAGCTTCTGATGCAGCTGTTCCCAAGGCTCCTAACCTGAACTCACATTTTGCATGGCAAAATGCACCAAAAGCATTTGCCTAATGGGCTCACCTGGAACTGCCAAGCCTCTACAGGGCACAGTGGTTGGTTGGCACCTTCTACCACTAGTAGCAGAACAGCCAGGCACGAGCCCCTTGCAAATGAAATGTGAGTCCATATTCCATTGTTGCCCTTGAGGCTTTAGGGTCTGGATGCCACCCGCGAAGAATCTCTGGGTTACTGGACTAAGCTGACTACGTCTTTTTCTCCACTTCATTTAGTTTGAGAATACAAATGGCAACTCACGTGTGCAGTTAGTTTTTTCTCTTCCTGGTCACTCTGACAGAACTGGTTGTGGGTTTGAACTTTATATGCCACTTATTTGCTGGAATATTTAAGGGTCAATAGGTTTTCATATAAAACACACTTTCTAGTAAATTATTCTGGGATATAAAATTCTTCTTCCCCTCAAAAAGAAATGTTAAATCCTAATTAATTGCGAGTGGTAGAGGATCATATCTACCTACAGCAGGGCATTAAGCAACATGTAAGGGAGTCCCTGTTTTGACCACATGATATTGTAGTTACCTCCTAGGGATTCTCTTTCTTTTTCCTTTAAATTTTCATTAAAGATTTAAAGGTATGTTATGGGCAGTATCTCTGAGAAGGGCCTTTTCTTTATAATAGAAAATATGGAAAAAAGGAGCTTGGGCAGGAAAGAGAAACTTGCCAATAAACTTAATGGCTGATAAAACATTGCATATTGTGGCCCTTTAAAACCAGGAAGGAGCCCTGGCCAGTGGTTCAGTTGATTGGGGCATCATCCTGTGCATCGAAAAGTTGCAGGGTTGTGTTTTTTTTAACAGTTAAGAAAATATATTATTGTTTATGCTGTTATAGTGGTCCCAATTTTCTCCCCTTCACCCCCCTCTCCCCAGCCTGCCCCCTACTTCCATAGTCAATCCCCACATTGTTGTCCATGTCCATGGGTCCTTTATACATGTTCTTTGACTAATCCCTCACCTTCTTTAAAATAGTCCCCAGCTCCTTCCTCTCTTCTTACTGCCATCAGCCTATTCCATGCTTCTATGCTTCTGGTTCTATTTTTCTCATTAGTTTATTTTGTTCATTAGATTCCTCGTATAAGTGAGATCATATGGTATTTGTCTTTCACCAACTGGCTTATTTCCCTTAGACTGATAGTCTCCAGTACCATTCATGCTGTCGCAAAAGGTAGGAACCCCTTCTTTTTATCTGCTATGTAGTATTCCATTGTGTAAATGTAACACAGTTTTTTAACCCACTCATCTACTGACGAGCACTTAGGCTGTTCCCAAGTCTTGGCTATTATAAACAGTGCTGCCATGAACATGTGAGTGCATACATTCTTTTGAATTAGTGTTTCAGGATTCTTAGAGCATATTCCCAGCAATGGAATCACTGGGTCAAAAGGTAGTTCCATTTTTAGTTTTTTTGAGGAAATTCCATATTGTTTTCCACAGTGGCTACACCAGCTTGCATTTCCCCCAAGAGTACACCAGGGTCCCCTTTTCTCCACATCCTTACCAGCACTTGTTCTTTGTTGACTTATTAATGATAACCATTTTGGTAGGTGTGAGGTGGTATCTCATTATGGTTTTAATTTGCATCTCTCTGGTGGCTAGTGATGTTGAACATCTTTTCATATGTCTCTGGGCCCTCTGTATGCCCTTGTTGGAGGCATGCAGCCCATGTCTATTTAGGTCCTTTGGACCATTTTTTAAATGGGTTGTTTGTCTTCCTGATGCTGGTTTGTATGAGTTCTTTATTTATTTTGTAGATTAAACCTTTGTCCTATGTATCATTGGCAAATATGTTCTCCCATACAGTTGATTTCCTTTTCATTTTGATGATGGTTTCTTTAGCCATGCAGAAGCTTTTTAATTTGATGTAGTCCCATTTGTTTATTTTTTTTCCTTTATTTCCTTTGCCCTAGGAGATATATTGGCAAAAGTATTGCAATGTGAGATATCTGAATTTTACTGCCTATGTTTTCTGCTAGGATTTTTATGGTATCACAACTTATGTTTAAGTCTTTTATCCATTTTGAGTTTATTCTGGTGTATGGTATAAGTTGGTGGTCTAGGGTCATTTTTTTTTTTTTTTTTTTTGCATGTACTAGTCCAGTTCTCCCAACACTGTTTATTGAAGGGACTGTCTTTACTCCATTGTATGCTCCTGCCCCCTTTGTCAAATAATAATTGACCATAGAGACGGGTTTATTTCTGGGCTCTCTATTCTGTTCCATTGATCTAGGTGTCTGCTCTTGTGCCAGTACCAGACTGTTTTGGTTACAGTGGCCTTGTAGTATAATTTGATATCTGACATTGTAATCCTTCCAACTTTCTTCTTCTTTCTCAAGATTGAGAAGGATATTTGGGGTCTTTTTTGGTTCCATATAAATTTTTGGAATATTTGTTCTAGATCTGTGAAATATGCCATTGGTATTTTAATAGGAATTGCATTGAATCTATAGATTTCTTTGGGCAGCACAGACGTTTTAACGATATTAATTCTTCCAATTCATCAACATAGTATATACTTCCATTTATTTGCATAGTCCTCCATTTCTTTCTTCAGTGTTCTATAGTTTTCCAAGTATGGGTCTTTTACCTCCTCGGTTAAATTTATTTCTAGGCTCTTTATCTATTGATTTTTTTGTTGCTATAGTAAATGGGATTTTTTTCTTAGTTTATCTTTCTGATAGTTCATTAATGGTGTACAAGAATGCCATCAATTTCTGAATATTGATGTTATATCCTGCTACTTTACTGAATTCAATTATTAGGTCGAGTAGTTTTCTGGTAGAGCCTGTAGGGTTTTCTATGTACACACTCATGTCATCTGCAAATAATGACAGTTTTACTTGCTCTTTTCCAATTTGGATGCCTTTTATTTCTTCTTCTTGTCTGATAACTGTGGTTAGTTGGGGTGCATTTGAGAGGCAACCAATTGTTATCTTTCTCTCTGTCTCTTTGTCCCCCTATCCTCTCTCTCTAAAATTATTTGTTTAATCATTTAAAAATAAAATAAAAGCACTCTGGCTGGTGTGCTCCATGCATTGAGTGCCAGCCTGTGAACCAAAGGGTCATGTTTGATTCCCAGTCAGGGTACGTGCCTGGGTTGCAGGCCAGGTCCCCAGTAGGGGGCACGTAAGAGGCAACCACACATCAATGTTTCTCTCCCTCTCTTTCCCTCTTCCCTTCTCCTCTAAAAATAAATAAATAAAATCTTTAAAAAAATAAAAATTAAAAAAAAATGTTCAAAAGGAGCATTAACATTCCCAGATACCTTCCAAATATTCCAGGCTGTGAAGCAACTGAGGTGTAACTGGCACATGCTGGGGAGAGAGAGAGGAGAAGGAACAATGGGTTGGATTGCACTGAGTGTACCCTGGTTCATCACACCCAGATGTGTCATCTGGAGCTGCCCTCTCAGATCCTGATGATCATCTAAGGAACTAGAAAGGCCTTCTAGGCTCTATGCCTGCGAAACCCACACTCACTTTTTGGTAAACGGCAAATGATTTATTTGTAGAAGTCAAAGGGTTTTTTCTTGAAGGAAAGTTTTGTTTCAAAAGTTGTCCGTGTGGTTATATTTAAATCCTTGTTGGAGCTGGGCTAGCTTTTGTCTCCTTAATCATGATGACCTTGTAAAGAAACTCAAGTTTGCTAATTTATTCACTACGAGGTGAATTTGGGACATGAGCGCTGTGGCTTCCAGGAGCCAGTGCCACGAAAAATAAGATGCTGAGATTTTGTAACTTAGGTTGTTCCGTCACCCTCAGTTCAAATTATACTTGAACCATCTTCAAACTAAGAAGAGGCAAGAAATGCCTTGAATGCATCTGTATCAGAGATTAAAGCAGCTCCTTTAGTGAGTCACATGTTATAAGAACTCCCTTTTCTTTGCAGAGAACATAAAACCCTACATCTGTTACGAGATCCGCGTGCATGCACTCTCGGGGGACCAAAAAGGATGCAGCTCCGTCCGGGGTAACTCTAAGCATAAAGGTGAGCCTTGGCACCTTTTGCCAAATTTTGCTTTAGTTTAACGATTTGGATTTGGAGGGTGACAAACGTCTCTTGTGCTCTACTTTACAGCACCACTGAGTGGCCCTCACATTAATACCATCACAGAGGAAAAGGGGACCATTTTAATTTCATGGGATGAAATTCCAGCCCAGGAACAAATGGGCTGCATCCTCCGTTACAGGATATACTGGAAGGAACGGGACTCCAGTTCCCCGCCTCAACTTTGTGGTATGTGTGAGAAACAAATGCCATGGGGCCCTTCTTCTTTATATGCCGGGAGAACACAAGCGTATGCAGGAACATACGTACACAACATACAAGAACGGTTCCTGGTACTTAGGAGATGCTCAATCAATATTGTGAAATTAACTGAATAAAGGAAAATAAAAGATATCTAAACACATATACAGAGTTACTGAATATATGTTATGTGCCAAGCAAATTAAAGATATGAAGATAATGGATGAGGCTCTTAAGGAGTTTACTTATGTGAGGAGACAGCATTTCAAAAAGCAATAAAGGCACTTTGGTAGGACTATATAGACCCTTGAGGTTTGTAAGGAATGCATTTGGAGAACTTTCAAGTCCCCATAATTGCAAATACCATCATGGCATATTATTTTCTTCTCAAAATGGATAAAATACAATACAGTTTAAGTAATTCCTTATTACCTATAATTATTCTATAACTATAAGACTAAAGCAATTAAAGAAAATTCTGGCTGGAGTGTTATCTCAAATGGCTTCATGGATCACTCATTCATAGTAGCTCCAAGGTACTGATGGATTTGGTTTTCTAACTTTGATTTATTCAGAGTTTTCTCCACCACCACCACCCTCCCCACCCCCGGCTTGCCCTTCTTTTTATTTCATAAGCAGCCTGCTTTCTTTCAGGAGAATTTATCATAAAGAAGCAACATTTTTGTTCCTTCATGGGAGCTAGTGGTCCAAGAAGAATGTGATAAAAACCCCCTGAGATGTAGATGCTAGAGCACTGCCTACAGGACTGATTTTTGTGTGGGAAACTTTAGGAGTTGGCTCTGTCTGTGGACTTTAGAAGACGTGCAGTGTTGCTTTTCTAAGTTATGACTTTTGAAGCTAGTTAATTTTTTACTATATAAATAATACTGCATGTGATAAAAAACATTCAAATAGTTTTGTAAGACATGAAATTGAAATTATCCTTCCCTTTATAATTAAGCTGTTAGCAGTTCTTTGTGTGTTCATCCAGAAAAAATTTAATACATATACAAGCATGTGTTTGAAATAATCATCTCTATTCTTGATCTTCACCATGCTTTTATTTCTCAATAATAAATACTGGAGATCTTTCCACATCAGCCCATATGGATTCCCCTCATTCTCTTTAACAACTCGCTAGTATTCCATTATAAGACTTTACAATCATTCACTTAATATTCACCATTGATAAACAGAATGTATCATTGAACAGAACTGCATCCCACTGGGCCTATCAGGGTAAGTCAGTTCTGAAAAACACCCCAAAAGGTGATGAATCAACTGACCTCTGCCTGAGCCATTTTAAATTGGTCATGTGGCATTTGCTCCCCTCCATCTCTGAATTTTCATTTTGGCAGAGTTTAAACTGGGATGCCTATTTACAGCCAGAGAGATTAACACGGTTATTTAGTTCTTAAAGCTGCTCTTAGAGATGTGGAAGAAAATACCTACTTTAGTTTGCCACAAATGTGATGAATCTAAAGTCTATATAAGGGTATTTTAAAATATGTCAAAAGGGGAGGATGCCCAGATTCAAAGTCCTATTTTAACCTGGTTTATATTAAATTTTCCTATTATTCATTAAGCACTTATTGATGAATAAGACCCAATGCCTGTCTTCACAGAGTTCACAGTCTATTGAAGGAGATGGAAAAGTACACAAAAGTGATGTAACTGCTATAATCAAGGACTGACAACTAGCTATTGCATCTGATAACCAGAAATCCCAGGTGAATTCGCAGGTGCAGCTTCTAGAGAGAGACGGAGAGCGTTAGGCTGAAGGAGAAAGACACCAGGAGAGAGACACCATACTGCAAAAGCGGAATGGAGTTCTAGGGAGGGAGGGGCCCTGCCATATGCGTCCTGCGGCGCTGCCCGCCAGGCCCCAGGTGGACAGCACATACAGAGTGCAGTGGGAGCACTTCGCCTTGCCCGGGCAGGAGAGGAGGGGTGTGGAACTGGAATGAGGCTCAGGCATCTGCCTCTTAGTACATTCCATAGGTGATTCTGGTGTCCGGCCTCTCCTCTGCAAGTTTGTTGATACTGCCGCGCGCACCCGTGTCAAGTGCCTTCTCTACTGGTGCACACATTATGCTTTGTTACCACTTGGTTGTTTTTGCCCACAGACTCTAAGCATCATGAAGACAGACACCATGGCAATTTGCTCACCACTGTCTCCAGCGTACTTACAATGCAGCCAGGCATAGAGTAGGTTCTTAATAAAAGCAGTATTTGTTGAGTAACAAATAGGTGATTACCACCTTACACTTTGTTAAACCAATGTAGATTGTTAGGGGAAAGCTAATTTTCAGTAACAATGTAGCTGTTTTTCCTGATACCACTTGACCTTCTTATCTACTGCCTGTTTGAATATTGGCAACTGTGTCCTTTAACCACCCTGAGCCTCAAGTTTCAGAGGGCCAAGGATTTAATGGCCCCTTTATCTGTGCCTGAGATCACAGCCCAGACTCAGGCAGCAGAACTGGTATTTCCTGCACGATTTCTTTTTGCCATTACTCAACTCAACCTATTTTGCCAACCAAATCAAGGATGTTTCATCCTCCTTACTGTTCCCCACGCCATAAAGTTTCTATTTTTATTCTTCAAATACACATATGTGTATGTGTGTCTGGATATAAATTGTTTGGCCCAGCACACCATTCAAATCTCTTCTGTCTCATTTCACTCCCAGAGCAAAGGACGCCCTCACATAGTCCAGCCGTTGACTCCCTGATGCTTGCTGATGCTTTGCTGCAGCAAGAAAGCAGGACGTTGCTCCAAAATTTTGAATCCCCCTGATATAGGAATACAAAAGAGATTTTTCTAGTTGAGTCATATAGCTTAAGTCTGTGCAAGCAATTTCATCAGGTTAGAGTAGGCTTGGGAATTTTCCACATGGTACTTTTTCTCAACAAGATGTAAAATACAGAAGTTGCTCTGATAGCCACAGCTCTTACGTAATCTGCCCCAACCTCAGCCCCTCTGGGTGAAGTGGATGTAATATTACAGGGCTCCATCTTGCTGGTCACCCATAGTAAGCAGGGGTGGGAAGTGTAAGGGGTCTGTTTTCCCCACTAGATGGTAAATTCTTTGAGGCAGATACTGTGCCTTTGTATACTTGATGCTTTGTCCAGAGCAGACACTCAATAAGTATTTGTGACTGCTGAAATATCAATAATTTCAGCAAATAGGGTTACCATCTGACTTGCCCTTGTGTTGGTGAGCCAGTAAGTGATGCTGAGGCACAAGGCGCTAGGTTCTAGTTTCCACTTTGGTCACCAGCGCAGGCACAAGTCTGCTGAGCAAGCCAGTGGGCTGCTCCTGCTGAGGTTCTGGCCTTAATTTTATAATACCCCCAGCCCCCAGCCCAGCTTTTGAGTCCAAACTCACACCCAGAAGACTGCTGGAGGAGAAGTTTCCTGTTCACCAAAGGCTCCCAACACTCAATGTTTCTTGGAGAAAAACAGCATCAGGGCATTGTGCTCAAAAAACAACATCTTCTTTGCTGAAAATCTGCAGTGCTGTTGAGAGCATAAGGAACTGATGGTTTTGGCTTAAACTGCCAAAATAAGTCTAGTCTTGAGTATCATTGCTGTAGGTTTTAGATTTTTACATGAAATTGTAGCAGATGGTCATATTAAACCCACTAAGCCCAGTACTCAGAGCCTAGGAAAAAAAGGTACAAAGTCAAAATTAATAAATGTTGTTTAAATATCCGTTTTATTAATTGGTAAGCTTACCTTTCTTTAAAATTCCATTGAAAACAATTTATACATTTAATTTCCTCCCCAAGAATTCTCAAATATACCAGGCAAATGCCAGAAACATTATAGGAAATAAAAATGAGTTAACTACAGCTAAATACTTTCAAAAGCAAAATGATAAAAATTTTCTCAAAAGGTTTTACCACAGGAAAAAATATTTAATTCTTTTGATGTGCTGTGAAGTGAGGCCTCTATAGATGACAGTGTCTGGGGCCCACAAAAGTATTAAGTATTAACTAACTAAGACTTTTAAAATACAAATGTGCTTTTTTTCTTTCTATTTAAATGAAGAATTAACAAATAAAAATGAGTAAAAGCCCAGATTAAAACATTTCCTTTACTATGTAGCTTGCTTTCTTTCTTTTTTTTAATCTTTATCTTCCTCTCAGAAATCCCCTGTGGGGTCTCTCCAAATTCCCACCCAATAAGCGGCCTGCAGCCCGGAGTGACATACGTCCTGTGGATGACAGCGCTGACGGCCGCTGGCGAAGGCCCCCAAGGAAATGAGATGGAATTTTGTCTGCAAGGTAAGACACAACTTTAGAGACGAAGAGCCCACCCTGGATCTCCACACAGGTGTCCGGTCCCACTACCTCTGGCATGAAGATAATCAGATAGTCTTTCATTTGCTCATAACTTTCTTACTGCTACACCTTTGCACTTGCTCTTCCTCTGAATGGACTGCCCTGCCATGTCACTGTCTACTTGCAGACAGTGTCTACTCATTTTCCAAAACTCAGTGGAAGTGTTTCCTCCTCTAGGCAGCATTCCCAAATGCACTTCACAATGCACTACCTTGACACATATTCAAGACTTTAAGTCCAACCGACAGGGACTGGTATCTGTTTCTGTCTGTCTTCAAGGTCTAAAATGGTGCCCAACACATAGCACTTGTTCACTGAATATCTGTTCAATGAATGATGAGAGTAATCTCAACAATAACAATAGCAGCTGTTGCAATCAGATAGTCATGCACCAGTCATTACATTATGTGCTTTTACAATATAGGAGGGGAGACCCCAAAAATCTCTGAATTATCATCTGGAGTGTCGGTCTCTTGTAGTACAGGTCTCCTCCTGCACAAGCTGAGTGTTCTAGGAACCCATCTGTACTGGTGCACCAGCAAGTGTTGTTGTGAGAGGCTGTGTTTGGCTTCAGTGAATTTTTATTGAAGAATCTTTCAGCATGTTTGCCCATTTCATGCTGGGTGATTTAAAGTGCACCTGCCCACACCATGCTGAGTGTTCAGCAGTTTTTGACCCAAAACACCACGACCTCCATGCCACACCCTCCGTACTTACCTGGTCTTGCCTGAAGCAACATCTTTTTGTTTCCCTGGGTGAAGAAAGTCCTCGAAAGGAAACATTGTGCTGATGTGGAAGAGGTGAAACCAAAAAACAGCAGAAGCACTAAAATGCATTAAAATTGATGAGTTCAAAAACTGTTTTGGGCAGTGGGGAAAAGTCTCAATAGGTGTATTGCATCAAATGGAGAGTACTTTGAAGGGGATTTAAGTTTAAACAAGTAAGAATAAATAAACAATGTTTTATTTAAAAATTCTGCGTTTTTTGGAGTCCCCCTTGTGTTAGTTTGCTGAGGCTCCTGTAACCAAGTACCACAAATCGGGGGCGGGGGGGGCGGTAAAAAATAGAAATTTATTTTCTCACAGTTTGGAGGTTGAAAGTCCAAGATCAAAGTGTCAGCAGAGTTAGTTTCTTCCAAGGGCTATGAACAAACCTATTTTAGGCCTCTCCCCTTGAGTCTGAGGGCAATCTTTGGTGTTCCTATGCTTGTGGATCTCTACCTTCATCTTCACATTGAGTTTCCTTGTATGTGTGTCCGTGTTCAAATTTCCCCTTTTTATGAGAACACCAGTCATATTGGAGGAGAGGTCACTGTACTACAGTTTGGCCTCATCTTAACCAATTATATCTGCAATGACCCTATTTCCAAACCAGGTCACTTTTTGAGATATTGAAGGTTAGGGCTTCAACATATTAATTCCGGAGGTGAGAGGACACAATTCAACCTACGTAATACATACTTTTACTCATTTACTCTTGCCCAAACCATGTAAAGTGCCTGCTATGTATGATTACACCTGGTCACACTATCAGACACTCAACATGGAATAAAGGAATGAGGGGTTAGAATGCTTTTTTACAAGTGTCAGGCACAGAAAAATTACCCAAGGTCATTGAAGGAGCAAATAGCAAAACTACAAATCAAATTCAGTTTTGAGTTACTTAAGATACGCTGTTCTCTGGCAGCACTAGTTTGCATTTGCTCCAAGAATAGAACAAGCCGTTCTGGCTTTGTGACGTGAAGTATCAAGTTGATCATTCAGTACTTTGTTGTTCTATGCCAGGTAATTCTCCACTGAGGAAACTGAAAAGCCCTCTTTTCCTCTCCCAGCTACTCCTGTGAAAGTTAACCTGTGAGCAGTTAATTAGATTAAGAACTCAGTATCCTTCTCCTCTGGTACTCTAGACTGTCCCAACGGCACAGGCAGATGCTGAAAAAATGTCAGACTGTGCTCATTGTATGGGATGGTAACAAGGCTGCCTGCGTTAACGCCCCCATTCAGCCCTGAAAACACACCTCTCACTGGTCCCTAGTTCCCCCTGTTTACCCTCCCTCCCAGCCCGTCCTTCATTCTGTCAGAAGAATCTCTCTGCAAGACCCCCGGTGCTGACATTCCACTTCTTGTTGCAATCCATCGGTGGTTCCCCAAGGGCTTCAAGCTCAAATTCACACTGCTTTGATACCAGGCCCTGCATGATCTGGTCCTGTTCACCCATCTGCTTCATCCTCTGCCGCACACTCATCATTTGTACTCAAAAGCTTAAGACCGGACTACCTGTAGTCACCTGGAAGTGCTGTGCTGTTTCCTCTTCCCATTCCTTGGCATAGTTCTCCCTCTAGTCTGTGTTTCCCTCCTTTGTCCGCTTAGCCAACTCCTGTCCATCCAGCTCTACACTTTGGACATCATGCCTTTTGAGAAAGCTCCCTGAGCTGTAAATAAGGCCACATCCCACACTGTTCTCTGCTACCTTATATGTGCTTGTTTTTACAGTTGTTTATGTGGGCTACATTCATGACTTCTGAAGACAGCAGAGCCCATGCCCTATTCATCTTCGCGTCTCAGTACCTAATTGGTCCTGGTACGTGGTTAATAATGAATACTGGATGAATTAATGAATAATTCTGACACATGGCAAAATATATGTCCACAGGAAGAAATCCTATGTTAAAACCCTAGTTAGATAGAGGGTTTATCCAATGGTTTGGTAAAATTACTAGCTACTATTTCTTGAGGGCCTGCCATGTCCAGATAGATACATTGCCTTGTGCTTTAAATACACTATTTCTAATCTTCACAGCAACTTGCAGGTACACATCATCATTTGCCATTTATAGATCAAGAATAGGCCCACAGATCACATATCAGTCCGCGGAAGATTCAGTAGCAGAATTTGGGACTCCCAGCTTATGACTAGTGCTCTGTGTGTTGTAGCTCTTTTCCTTCCACCCATTAGAGGAAGGAGCCCTTGCAGAGCTAGAGCTCCTCTCAGAACCACAGAATTGGCTCCCTGAGGGCCCCTTCTCCTTAGAGGGCTGGATAAAAATGAGCTGGCTGTTCCTGGGCCCAGCTACCCAGGAGTGACGGGAAAGGCCCAGAGGGCTCACAACAATAACATTTTTAAATGTTCGTTGAAGCTAACTCAGTCACAGGGTTTACTCTCTTTTCAGGAAAAGCCAACTGGAGCACATTTGTGGTACCAAGCATCTGTACTGCTGTCATCATGGTGGGCATTTTCTCAATGAGTTATTTCCGGCAAAAGTGAGTTGGGTACACCTGCCAATTTTGTTAAATGGTTTTTTAAATGATAATCGCTGTTGCTGCTCTTAGTCCAAGAAATGGACACTCTCATACATTGCTGGTGGCAGACCAAATTTATTCAACATTTTGGAGTGACAATATATGTTGAATTTTTAAAAATATTTGACCATAGCAATTCCTATTTAGAAATTTATTCTAAGTATATCATAGGGGTATGCAGGGATTTAGTGGCAAATACGTTCACTAAAATGTTGTTCATAAAAAAAAATTTGAAACAACATAAATGCCCAATGATATGGGATTAACTAAATCATGATATATCTTATGCTATATAGCAATATCATGCATCTGTTAAAAATGTAGAATAAAATTAAATCATGAATATTTGCTATATTACATTTTAAAAAGGAGCTTGCAAAACAATATGTACTTCCATTTTTAAAAAAATAGTACATACACGCATGCACAAGCACATATACAAGATATTATCAGTCATCATTAAATTTGGTTGTATAAGTTTTATAGCCAAAATAATGTGACCTAAACTAGCAAACGGTTTCTCATCCAAGTAAGCAAAGTAAACTAAGCAAGGCCTGGCGTTAGCTCCGTAGTTATTGCGACCTGGGTTCCTTGCATCTTCCTGCTCTGCTGACACTGGCTTCTGTCAGTGTCCTCTCACAGTCCAGTGGCTGCAGGAATTATAACCATCATGCCTGCAGTTTACAACCACAGGGACAAAGAAGGCACCCACACCTCCCTTTGCAGAAGACGTTACATGAAGTCATGCAAGATACTGTTGGTTAGATCTCATTGGCCAGAACTTGGTGAGGTGCAGAGGTTTAAAATTGTGGCTTTCTAGCTGGGTTCATGATTGTCCCAATAAACTAGGGTGCTCTTCCTTAGGGTGGGAAGAAAACAGGTATTGGGTAGCAATTAACACTTTTTGCTCCAAGGATGTACACCAAAAGATTAATGGTGGTTCTATCAGAGGATAAAATCATAGGTGATTTTAGTGCTTTCTATTTAATTGTACTTTCTAAAAATTTTAAAACATGCATTATTTAATGAGGGAATTTTTTTTAAATGAAGCAGTATTTCAACACAAAGTTTCCTTTAGATATTGTGTAAAGTAAGAGAAGAGGTAAAAATAAATCAAGCTCAAAGTCATTCTACTGACCACTGAACTTGTCTGAAAGGCTTTACATTTATTGAAGCTCCCATGTGTGATAGGTACTTCAAAGCAGAGCTTTCTTTAGGTCGATTTTGAAGTTAGCCTAAGAAAAAGTTAACTAGGATCACATACATCCTCTTCAGGGAAATAGTATCAGTTAGGGTCAAGGCTTCTGCTGTTAAAAGAAAAACAAAAAGAAAAAATGACCCAAAAGCAGCGGCTTTAATAAAAGAGGTTTATTTCTCTCCCATATGAGAGGTTAAGTCATCCAGGTTGGTTGGCAGCTCTGCTCCACACAGTCATTTAGGAACCTGGTTTTATTCCACTTTATTGGTCCACCATCCTTTGGGCACTGTCCTCATCTGCATGATCTATGAGGTTGCAGGTACCTCGGCTCACAATTCTTTGGAGAAAAACCAGTTGCATGGACACCTCTCTTGTTTCAAAGGGCTAAACACATTCCACATGCTTTCCACTCTTATTAAACATGAAAGCTTATTAAAGCCAAAGTTTTAAAGATGTTTTATATTGGTCTTGAATTTTTAAAATATAGTGATAATATTTAAGCCACATGCATGTATAAGAAACATTTTTTAGGGTTTTTCTCTTCCACATAAAAGTAATATAAACTCATTTTAAAATATTTTTTTAAACATAGAGATGTAGGAAAAAAAGACCTACATTTCCTCTGATCACCAAACACAAGTACTGTTAACAGTTTGAATGTTTCTCTATGGTATTTTTTTCTTGGCATTTTTTTGCAAGGTTTATGGTCAAGCTATTTATATCATTTGTACCCTGGTTTTTTTGTTTGTTTGTTTTGTTTTGTATTTGCTTTTAGCACAATAATTTCCTTATCATTACGAACTCTTCATAAACATTGTAATTAAGTAAATGGTAAGCTCCCAAGGGTAGGGGCCATGTCTTCTTGTTTACTTTCTGCCCCAGCACTGTGCTGGCCATGCATTAGAGAATGTTTGTTGAGTAGTTGCATGGCTGGATGGTGACAGCTAAACATTACATTGATCAAAAGTTCCATAGTTTATTTAGCAACCCCCAAGTGATTGCATCACCACTCTTTATCATATATCTACACAAAAAACTAGTCCATCCTTTGATGATGTGTCATCTTTTTCCTTCAGTGTTTACATCCTACTCATTTGCATACCCCTACACTGAACAACCTCTACACTGAAATCACTGCACTGGGAACCTGTGCTTCCACGCCGCCATGTACTCACTTAACCAGATGTCATTCTTTTCTTTATCTATAGGGTATTTGTCCTCCTTTCAGGCCTCAGACCTCAGTGTTGTAGCAGACAAATTCCAGACCCAGCAAACAGCACTTGGGCCAAGAAATATCTCATTGTGGAGGTAAGATATAAAGCCTTCATGGTTAGTTGATGGGGTCCTAGACATCAGCACATCTAAGTTTCCCCTTGTGATTAGGAGGAAACCTGGGTACTTAAAGCCTATTAATAAAGTGAGGTCATTGATGCTAGGTCACCATTGGAGTTGCTCCCACGTACAGGAATTTCCTGAAGCTTGTGATCCAAAGACTCAGACTCATAGCTTTTCATTCCTCACTATGCCTTATGTTCCCTTCTTACCTCAATTTACTTTATAAGAAATTTAAAAGCAAGAATTTTTACCATTTGCTGAGCCCTAGCCTGAGTACTGACTCATTCAAATTCAAGAGAATTGAAGCTTTACCATGATGTTCCCAGCCCCATCTGAGCATGGAACAGATAAATAGAACCCAGACTATTTTGGATTTGGCAGGAAGCCAGTAAGCCACCCCATTGTGTATGGAAAAAATTCTAAAAGAGAAGTTGCTCAGCTGGCAGATGAGAGAGCGAGAGTAAAGGAAGCAGAGCTGCTGCTGTGCAGTCTAAGGAGGTTAGAAGAGCTCGCAGTGGGCAAGATGGTCCACCTTTGGTGGAAGGTCTGGAAGCTGAAGGCATCTGAATATGGAGCAAGACTGTGCATTCATGGAAAGCAAAGCACAGGGAAGTGGTATGCCAATATTTTTCCCAGGCCCAGGTCATTGGCAGCCCACCTTCCCTTACCACACCTTATATCCCTTCTCCTCCAAGATTCTTCTCCTCAAATGCCCAGTGCATTCTATTATTCACACCCTTCCTCAGGCCAGAAGCCAGCAATACCAGCCACTACTCAGGTAAAGAGCTGGTCTCAGCCATGTCTGCCTCAGCAGGAATTTAAGTCCCTGTAGCTCAGTGCCTTTGAAACAAACCTTGGAAGCAAACCCCACCCTGTCCCTTACTATGTAGGTGACCCTTGGGCAACTCTCCTGACATCTACACCCTGACAACTACAGAGTTTCATTCTCTGTAAAATAGGAATTAAAATCTCCCATGTATACTGTTGTGAGGTTTAAGAAAGATGACATGTAGAGTACATGGCTCATACAAGGCAAGTTATCATTCACTTTCTTCCCAGGAAGACTCATACTTGATGTCTCCCTCTATCTATTAAGGGGTTTTGTTATTGTTAAAATAACAAGAACAGTAATAACAGCAATAGAAACACACACACACACACACACACACACACACAATGTGTGTTGCATATATTGTATATCTGCATGATATATAATTATATATGGTATATAATTTTATTATACATCTATGCATATATATATGCCAGGTACTGTAAAAAGTTTTTTTATGCATTAACATCTAACCCATATGCTTTATGAAGTTGTACTATTATCCTCATTTTTCAGATGAGGAAACTGAGGCACAGGGGACTAAGTAAGTTGCCCAACATTAGTCAACTAGTAAATGGCGGATCCTGAATTCGTAGAAGCAGGATGTGCTGTCTGCCATTATCCTATACATTCTAAAAGATCTTGAAGCACAGGGTGTAAGAGGAGTCTCTCGAAGTCCACACCTCCGAGCTAAATAAACTAACTAAAGAGGACCCTCACTTAATGGCAATATTGCAATGACCTGTGGGAATGCACTCTGTAAGGATGCCACTGCCAGTGTTAGAGAAAATACAGGGAAAAGGTAACAGAGATTTCCACATACATGCCCAAAGTTGTGGAAATATGTTCATTAGAGCATTATATAGAGAAGCAAAAAATTGGGCATAGTGTAACCTGCTACTGGGAGGTCAGGCTGAACATTTTGAATATACCCATACAACAGAATATTATGCAACTATTATTTTTAAATCTGTATATGTCTAAAAATCGCTAAGGTATTTAAAAGTAAAAAAGGGAAGTTTGTAAGTTTCTAAAGTGGATTCTTATTTGTATAAAAAGGAGGGAGATTTTATACACACACACACACACACACACACACACATCACATGTGCACAGAATATTTCTGGAAGCCTACATATGAAAGTGATCATCAGTGTTATTGTTAGGGAAGAGGTTGGAGATATGAGGGCCATTTAATTTTCATTATAAATTTCCTTTAAACTTTTAAAATTTCTTTAAAAACTTATGTGCATCTTTTTTTCCCCCCAAAAATGACTGAATTAGAAAATTTAAAACATTTAGCTCCAATGTGGCATCTGAGACGAAGGCCTTGAGGCAGCTTCAGAATCCCATGTCGCTTGACCATTGATGTGAGTAGGACAGTGTTAGACCCACACTGCTCTCCTGGTGATAAGCTGGGGCAGACATCAGAATTACAATAGTCTGTCTTCCAACTCCAACAAAATGTTTTCTGTTCTTAGCCCTTATATGCACCTCCCATGTAAGATGTGGCTAAAAAAATCACGTGTCTTAAAGCTCTGGTGGAAAAAGCCATCTTATGCAGGGGCACACCGGAATGTTGTAAAGGCTTAAAATAGTGTCCATGAGGTACATGAGCTAATAGTGGTCTAAGAGGCCTTGTCCCAGGACCTATCTGCCAGAGAGCCTACTTTATAAAAGCTCTGAGGAACAGCCTCTATCAGTACTGCCAAAGCTTTCAAGAAGGCAGAATGAACATCTCACCTTGTGATAACAAGCCGTTTCCACACCCTGTGTAATCTCTCACATCCGTGATAGCAGCACAGGCAGTTCTGCTTCCCAGAGCTGCCAGCCATGTTCCAAGACACACTCACATGTGGGCAACAATCAGGAAGAGTTGGCTGCCAAGAGAGACACACGCATATCCTTTAGCTTCCTCTAGCCTGTGGGCCCTTTGCGGAAAGCTGTCCCAAGACGGCACCACCATACACTCTGTGGAAACTCCTCATGCTTGAGGAAAGGCAAGGGACATCAGAGCCAATCCAGACCAAATCACTCTTGTACAACCTGACATTTGACGGACAAGGGAATCAAAGGCCAGAGAGCTTGTTTTCTCAAGCTGTAAAGTGTCAGAGTTGGAACTAGTCCTGAGGGTTTACCCTGTCCCAAGGCTATTTTTTGTCATCCTACACCTCCCTTAAGACAGCTCCCTGCTCACAGATCGCTTATGGACACATTTAAAAAGGGTGGCATTATAAAGCACATGTGCTAAGAACCTAACGGGTAGTTGCTTCACTGCTACAGTTCAGCGGAGGAACAGTCACTAGGGGCTTTAAGAAAGAGGAACGTGGCAAGCAGGGTATGGTACAGCAAACAGAAGCGGGCAGAGGCTGGCAGTAGGAGCAAAAGTATGGTGTTGGCACAGAGAAAGTGTGTTTACCAGGATGGTGTGCCTAAAATAATTTCTGAACAAAAACATGGAGAAAGTGGAGGCAAGTGCAGGGACCTGATTGCCAAGGTAAGGGCTGAAAACTTGACTGCTTACGTAAACCTCAGGCCTTAAAGGTGTTGGGAGTTTTTTGCCTTAGTAAGATCGGTCAGTGTGAAAGATTGTTTCCAGGATGTGAGGAGAGCCCAAGAAAGCAAAGAAATGTTAATACAGCGCTTGGACTTGGGCTCAGAATCAGCATCAGGTTTGGAAATCAGAGAGAGGATGACATTGAAGAGGTGGTAACCAACGGTGCTGTTGACAAAGTAAACAAGAGAAGTTAACAGACCAAATTAGATACAGGGGGAAAAGTTTTCTTCCAAAAAAAAGTTATTCTAGAGGGACCTTTCTTAAAAACAGGACTGATGAACAAATTACCCTAGAACTTTTCAGTAGCTGTATGAAAACGCAAACTGCTTAGCATCCCCTAAAGTCCCTTCATCATGTGACTTCTTCCTCTTTCCAAAGCCTCAGTTTACTGTCAGAACGAGCAGGTTTCAGAACAGACCAGTTCTCCTTGCCCATAACCTCCTTATCTGAAAGATTATACTCCTCAGGATTCAGCTGTAGTGTGACCCTTCTATAGTCTTCCCTGCCATGTCCCTCAGACAGAGGCAAGCTCAGCCCTTCCTTTGCACCCAGTGTCCCCTGTCCTAGAGAAAAAACAGCTAGTGTAGTTTGCCTCACAGGACCCTCTGGTTGAAGGCTGAGCAGGGTAGTGAATCACCACTCACTGGCTGGGGTTGAGAGGACTCCATGGCTCCTGCCTCCCAGACCACTTAACTGCTTCTGTTGCCTCATAAAGTCAAGGGTCCACAGTTTGCCTCGAGCTAAGTGCAGGTTGTGAGGCCCTTAGGAATGCTGGATAAATCAGTTGTCAAGGCTACTCACTTAACATAACCATATGAGCTTCTTCCTTCCCTTTGCTCAGGAGAAGATGCAGCTGCCCTTGGACAGGATCCTAACAGACTGGCCCACTCCAAAAGAACCTGAGCCCCTGGTCATCAGTGAAGTCCTTCATCAAGTGACCCCAGCCTCCAGACATCTCGTTCACCACAACTGGCCAGAAAAGGGAAAAGGAGTCCAAGGTCACTATTCCTCTAAGGAAGATACAGGGTACAGTGCCTCAGGCTCACCACCTCCAAGAACTCTCACAGCAGAGACAGGACAGCTAGTGGATCTGTACAAGGTGCTGGGGAGCAGGGGCCCTGACTCAAAGCCAGGAAACCCAGTAAGCCCCTTGCCAGTCCTCCCAGTGGACTACCTTCCCACCCATGAGGGCTACTTACCCTCCAACATAGATTATCTCCCTTCACACGAGGCTCCTGTAACTGAGCCCCTGGAAGAACTGGAGCCCCAGCACATCTCTCTTTCTGTTTTCCCCTCAAGTTCCCTACACCCGCTCACCTTCTCCTGTGGTGAGAAGCTGACTTTGGATCGGTTAAAGATGGGGTGTGGCTCCCTCATGCTTTGAGGGCTGAAACTTGGCAAGTCTAAGTGCTCCCAACCAGCACAGCATGCCTAGCCACCCAGCCCTGTTCCAGCTGTCCGCTCCTGTGGCTGCTACCACTTGGTCTGTTTGCAGCTAGAGGTGTCAAGCCAGCTCAGGGGAATCATGGGGAACTGAGTCGGCTGAAGCCCATACCTCATCTTGCCTTCTATACCCTTCACTGTGCGGACCTAGAAACTCCAGTCTAAATTCCTGCAACTTTCTTGGTTATGATGGCTGGAATTAGGGAGAGTGGAAACCAAAACGCTTACTGGCGATGAGAGCCAATCCCACAATTGTTTATAAAGCAGCTACTACATAGCAGATCTTAGGTTGAGGTCGGTACTGTCCAGTAGGCCTGTCTGCACTGATCAGTATGATAGACACTAACAGGTGGCTGTTGACTCTTTGAAATGTGTCTAGTATGACTGAAGAACTGAATTTTGATTGTAATTGAAAGTCACACGTGGCTAGTGGCTCCTGTATTAAACAGAGCTAGAGTTGATGGATACATTAGTGAGAATTACCAGGGTCCTTCAAAACACATCATCCTAGTTTTACCAATGACATAAAAGACCCTGGTGGACACCAAAATAAAAAGCACTTCCAAGATGGTGGTGACTGTCCTTATTTGTGGAAGCCTAAGGATGTATCTTTCCCTAATTTTGCTGGTTTATTTTGCTTTCGCCTTTCAGTGAACCAAGAGCATATTGTGGAAAAGCTACCTGTAAACCCACCTTACCATCTTGAGCAAGCAGCCACCAGTCTTAATCAGATGTCATGAAAAGGAGTGGGCCAAAGGCTCTCAGCCCCCTCGTTTTCTTTCTGATTCAGCAGGTGCTGCCTTCTGCCTTCAGGCTGTCAGGGTTTAAGACCCAAACTGCTGCATTCATAAGTGCCCTCCGCCTGCCTTCCTGGAGAAAACTAAGCTGGTCCTCAAGACAGCTCAAGTTGAGCTTAGAATAGTATTTTCCCCAGCACGAACTTGGGATATGATACATTACTTTACTCATTTAGAGCTATGGCCCTGACTTGTCACCCTCCCCATGCCCATCACTGCCTCTATCCTGTCACCTGCAGGCACTTCTGCTAAGCTGGTTTAATTGCTAATAGTACCCTTCCCCCCAAAATAGGATCCAAAGTCCAAGAACTTTTTTCTTAAATCCCTAACAGGCATGGGGCCTACCTCCTATCCCCATCCCACCCAAACTGGAACTGAGGCGGGCATCCCTCAAAGCTCTAGAAATTGAAGTAACATTGTTCTGCTTGTTCACTTTTAACTCTTCATCCATGTCTCTTGCCATTCCAGGACATACTTAATTATATTTTCTTTTCCTTGTATACATCTCTATTTTCCTCTTCAGCTGCTGTGCAGCAACCCCCTCCCCCACCCCCCATCACCACGCTGTCCCTTGCATCTCAGAGCTTCAGCACTGGTTTATCTGCACCCAGGATGGGGTTCCTTGTTTACAACAGGCCATGACAAGGTCACCTCCTTTAAAGCTGAACCAATCACTTCTTGACAATGGAAGCCAACTTTTCTTTCTTGAAATACCTGTTTTTCCTATCCTTGGTTTTCTTTTGATCACCTATCCTAGCCACTGTTCTCTTCCCGACTTGGCCCCAAATACCAGCTCCCAGTCTTTTCACCTCCATTCCTCCACAGCCTTTCCCTTAAAACCGCAACCCCCTTTTTCTCCCCCTAAGAGTTAAAAACAAAAACCCAAAAACTTAATTAAAAAAAAAGGGGGGGGGACTTCCTCGACTCCTACAAGCTCCTTCTAAGGATGGAAAGGCTTCCTTGGTGCTCTGTTAGCACGACGCCCATACCAACAACTTCCTCTACTGGACTGTAAATAATTTGAAGACAGGAACCATGCAATGTTTCTCCAGCACCATACCTAATACATAGATACCAGCCACAGCTTTTATCCCGTTCCTTCTGTTCCTGAAGCTAGTCCAGCTGTGCATGCTTCCTCTTTACTGGGACAATTGTTTGCATTTGTTCTTTATTCCCAACCTCCTCTACCCCCACTGTTCACTGCCAGCACTGCTATAATACAAGCAGCAGTATTTAAAAACATACTTGAGTAAGATATTTGTCCTTTATCCTCCCTGATAAAATATCCCCTTTCCACGAGAATGGGTAACCTTGTTCTGTCCTCACCCTAAGTAGTTTTCACACACACACTTCCTGCCACATACAAAATTTCAAACCAGGTTGCCCAGTTAACCAGGACTAAGTGAGGCTTACCGATATTTATACTGCCGGACTTTCATTCCTCAAGAAAATTAGCAGTGATTTAAATCCTCACCCTCACATCCAAAGCCAACCCAGAAACCTCTGCTCTGTTCAAACACATTTAAATTCCTTAATTCTCTGGGGCCTAAAGTCCAAGTTCATGCTTACTGGATATATGGCAACTTCATTAATTTTTGTGTAGAAATCCTCACTTTCAATTGTTACTTGAAAGGGTCCTCTTTCCCAGAAGCCAGATATTCTATTTCCTGGGCTTCTGTCTTCCTTATAGACACAACAGGAGAGTCAAACCAGTGTTACTAGTTCTTTTCTTTTAGTGCCTTTCCCCTTCCACCCTGTCCCAATTTCTCAGCTTCCACTAATATCCTACAGCTGCAACTCACTGGTGCCCTGAAGCCAGTGAAAGAGATGCCAAGCCAAACTAGGCATTCTACCCTAGTCAGTGTCCCAATGTCTGTGTTTTCTTTTTTTTTGAAGCTTTTCCTTTCACATGTCACAACTGTCATGTGTCCCAATATCACTGCTGTCACCCTCCAAAGGAGCCCCATTTTTCTCTTCCTGATATGCAGGACTCAAGGATGTTCACATTATCCAATCTTATAGAAGGATGACTGATAGGTGAATCCTCACGTAAACTACTTTCTAGAATAAAAGATCAGAAAGGTCTCTTCTTCCTCCTAAAAGAGATAAACAATTCAATCAATTGGCTAATTGACAACTGAAAGAAACTCAGATCTTCTCATCAGCCTATACTGAAATAAATTTTCAATTAAAAATTTGCAAAACGCACACACATCAAGTTAGGTAAAAATATTTGCAATATATGCCCAAAATAACTTAATAAGGCATTCTTACAGATCAAAATGAAAAATGCCAACATTTCAAAAAACGGACTGAGAAACACAAAACATTATATGTTCAGTAACAGTGTCACCAATAAATTCAATGAAAAGATTTTAAATGCTCAATAAGCATGAAGAAAACAACTGCCTGTAATCAAAGGAATAAAATTAAACACTACTTTTCACTTACCAAATTAGAAAAATTAAAGAAAAAATTACCCATTATTAATCAGAGATGGTGTTTGCAACCAGGTATGCTAGATGGCTCCCTTCTGGAGGCAGGTGAGCAGTTATTTTTTAAAAATTTTAGTAACTCCATTCCTAACAATGCAAACTTAAGAACAGTATAAACAAGTTATCACTGCATTGATTAAAACAGGAAAAGGAGTCTAAATGCCCTTTAGCAGGAACTTGGTTAATCTATACAACAAAACAGTATCATGCAATCTAAGACTACAAATTTCAGAACACCCCCATTACATTACGTTCTGAATTGGGAAAAAAACAAAACTGTTAAACCTGTAATGCGCCATTGATTTCTAGGGTACACAATCCCCTCCCCCGCTTTAAAAAAGCCTGAAACTGGGGAATCGGGATGGATCTTAGAATTGATGAAAGGCACAATATGCAGTCTTTCAAAAAGCATAGCAATATTTGATATGGAAATGGTCAATTACAAAAGAATGAACAGAATTACATCACCATAAGTAGTTTTTGAAATAGACACAAAAATACTAACAGTGGTTTCCTCTAGCCATAGGTTTTTAAATTCTATTTCCACATTCTTTTCATTATAAATACTCCTTATTCATATAATTGGATAGTCAATAAAATATAACCAATTTTCCCCCCAAAAGCCTGACACAACAGGTCTTCAGACACATGACCATGTCTCTTTGTATGGCTCATGTCTCTTTCATCTTCCACCTGACACTTTCACCAACCCTACTACTCCTGTCAGTTGGTAGAAAAGTAAAATGACACTCTTAAGTGAGGGTGGGGTTGGGGACGTTAGGATAACCACCAGAGCAATGGATCTCTGAAGTACCAAGTTGATATAACAAGCCTAATTTTGCAAAATTCCCATTCAATATATAACACAATGCATTCATCCCTCAGTTTCCTCTGTGGTTTGGTTCCAGGACCAACCCCCCCCCCGCCCCCGCCATCAAAATCCTCAGATGCTCAGTCTCTCATAAAATGGCGGATTTTCATACTATACATGCACATCCTTTCATATATTTAAAACCTCTAGATTATACCTAATACACCATAAATAGCTGTACTGTAATGCTTAAGGCATAATGACAGGAAATGGCTATACATGTTCACAGTAGGCCTAACTACATAATACATGTCACCAACAATATCATTTTGGAATATTTTAATCCTCAGATGAATCTGTGGATTTATAACTGTGGATACAGAGGGCAATGTACTTATAGTACATGATGATTTGAAGATCTGTAACTCAGTTCTCACCATGACTGGTTTAAGGTAGGTGTTATCTCCACTATAGAGAAAAGGAAAACTGAAATACAAGTTAACCAAAGTCACACTATTGGTACCTAATATTGGACAGTCTAGTTTCAGAGCATCTTTCAACTATACAAATTCCTTTCTATGCAAATTACTGCTCTACAAACTTACATCAATTTGGGTTCAAACTATAGTTGACTAAGACTGATGCCATAAAAACCTTTGGAGCTGTTTTTACTAAATAACAAAACCCTGGCATTTCCATACTTCTGAAATCCTAGATCTTTCTTGGCTCCTAAGAAATCTACCTTTAAAAAAAGACAAAAAAATAAACTTTAAAATGACAAATCTGGTACTCCTGGATTTGCTAATTTATCTACCCAGCTAATCTAAATCCTACAAGG